GAATTTTTTATGACTGACGCCTTGCCCATAGTCTTTTCTACGGCCGGACCCGATCTTATATTGCTTCAGAAAAAGGTGTACGCTCCAAAGAAGAGTGGTGGTGTGACATCAAAATCGATGTTGCAACTGGCCCTCGTGACATTTATGCAGCCATTGACGGTGCCTTTGACGTACAGAAGGTGAATGTAGAGAACTCGGTGGCTGAGCAGTACGGTGCTATCAGCAAGCTCCCGCCAGTGCTTCAGATTCAGGTTCAGCGTGTCCAGTTTGACCCCACAACGAAGCGCTCATTCAAGTCCACGCACCATCTCGGATTGAAGGAGACGATTTATCTTGACCGATATATGGACTCGCAGCAACCGCAGTTCCTGGAGCGGCGACAGCAGTGCTGGCAATGGAAGAACTCGCTCAGAGAGCTTGAGGCGCGCCGTGCGGAGTTACTGCGTCAAGTGGTAGGTTGCGCCCGCATCGCTTGTTGTGGGCCCAGACATCTAATTCATAATCTAGGATTCCGACGGCATGGATACGGCGGGTTTGCTCAACAGCGCTAAGGAAGTACTCGAAGACTTGGCAGCTATGAGAGAAGAGCCTGATTATGCCGAGGACGCGATCGATTTTGACACGCAAATAATCACCGAGGTTGATCAGCTTTCTCAGATAGCAAAGGCTGACTTGAACTGTGCGTCTTTGCTTCCCAAGTTTTGGCCTCTGGTATGCAGGCGCTAACTCGAAACAGATGTCGAAAACCAAATCCAGGAGACCCAGAACAAGATCACCGCTCAGTTTGCCGACTACAAGTACCTGGCTTATCGCCTGTATGCCGTTTTCGTCCACCACGGATCGGTCTCCTTCGGCCACTACTACATTTACATCTTCGACTTTGAACGGAACGTCTGGAGGAAATACAATGACAACTATGTCACCGAAGTAAACGACCTGGATGAGATCTTCAAGGACGAGGGACAGTCCAACCCGCCTACGCCGTACTTCCTGGTATACGTCAACGACACGATGAAGGATCGGCTCGCCGACCCGGTCTGCAGGGAAATCTTGGAAGAATCCACGGCGAATGCCAATGAAGATGTGGACATGAATCCACCAGCGTACGACGAGATCTGGACAGACCAGGGCGGATCAGGTACGGTAGTCGATCACCCCATGACGGAGGCTAAAGACGATGCCAATGCAGGATCCGGCAAGACTGCCTGGGGTTGGCCACCGAAGACAAGCACTGACTTAGACCATGTAAAGTGGTAGGCTCAGAGGCCAAGCCGCCGGTCCGAGACGCGACGTTGAATCCACTCAAACGCAAGGGCCTGGGCGATGATGGAGGCTGAATACATACTAGGCCTAGACTTCTAGGGGACGCCTACAGTTCAGCTATAGAGGTAAATTGCAGGACTGGACACCATGACCGAGCAAAGACTCTAGAGCTGGATGATATGGGGCGGGGGAGACTGCGAGAATACGGGCTATTCTTGTAGTGATATTGATGTTCTGTTTGGTTTGTGCGGGCGTGTAACTTTTCTGACGATATCCTTTGTGCATGCGCTAGCGGAGATGTTGTCATGATTTCCTGTACATAGCAGGTGATGTTCTCCATCATGATATTTGATGATAATGTACCATGTCATTTTCGGTCTTATGTCCCTCACAGATAGAACCAACCTAATCTATCTATCTATGCTGCAGTGACAGTCAGTTTAGTCATGACTTCGGCGGCGGGTCCGAAGCGGGCCGCGGATCGGGATCGGAACGACAGTCGGCAGCACAAGTGGGGGAGAAGATGCCCTGCAGGCTGAATGACCGTCGCATGTCTGTGCATGGGACTGAGGCCATTGCACCAGAAGATCTTAAGAGAAGTAACTAGATGAGATTTACCGGTCATCAGGAAAAAAAAAACATATATATTTTCAATATAGAAGTACACAAAATAGACTAACCCAAGGCCTCCGATCTCAGTATATAGGTTATGCATTGGAAGCACAAGTGCGGGGAGAATTCCGGGGAAGGCGGCATGGCGGCTGGCGTTCCGCAACTCCGCATGTGGCCGTACTTACCCATTCCTCATATAACCTCCTCTTCTCCGCTTCCTTCATGTTCCTCTGATACCTTCAGTCTTCCTTCTTGTGTCTCGGGGGTGATTTGTCAACTCTGGACCCTAACGGCTTTTGCGCAATTTGAGCCAACTGAAACTATCAAAGCTACATACATATATACCTCTACTCGTGGTCCACCATGCCGTCACAAGTGGCGACATGTCTGCGCCTGGCGCGGCAGTTCTCTGCTGATCCCAGCAAGGTAAGAATCTTTGTGTCACCAAATGTGACTAAATTGGAAATGATAGTTCTGACATATGCATTTACTCCAGCACCAACGATTCCTTGCACGTGCTTTCTCTAGCAGCATTCGTCGACCTGAGATCAACAAGGTGGTCTCTTCTGCAGACATCGCGGTCAAGGATATGAAGTCCAGCTCGACACTATTGGCCGGTGGCTTTGGTCTCTCCGGTGTACCAGACACCCTGATCAGCGCGGTGCGCGCGAATCCCTCCATCACGGGATTGACAGTCGTCAGTAACAATGCTGGTGTCGACGGAGCAGGTCTCGGTCTTCTTCTCCAGTCTAAGCAAATTAAGAAGATGATTGCTAGCTACGTGGGCGAGAATAAGACCTTCGAGCGCATGTACCTGACCGGAGAGATCGAGCTCGAGTTGACTCCTCAGGGTACCTTGGCGGAACGTTGTCGTGCCGGTGGTGCGGGCATCCCGGCTTTCTACACCCCTGCCGCCTGTGGTACCGTTGTGCAGACAGGCGAGTTGCCTCTGAAGCATAATTCCGACGGAACTGTCGCGCTTTACAGTGAGCCTAGGGATGTCAAGGTCTTCGATAAGAAGAGTTACGTCATGGAGGAAGCGATCAAGGGTGACTATGCGTTTGTGAAGGCCTGGAAGGCTGATAAGCTGGGTAACTGCCAGTTCCGCTATGCTGCGGCTAACTTCAATGGTGCCATGGGCCGCAATGCGAAGATGACCATCGTCGAGGCGGAGCATATTGTTGAACCGGGTGAGATTGAGCCCGCTGCTATTCATCTGCCGGGCATCTATGTCAAGCGGGTGATTCAGAGCACAGCCCCCAAGAACATTGAGAAGTATACCTTTGCGAAGGAAGAGGGTGAGGAGGCGGCTGCCCTGGGTAAGGGTGATACTGCTGCTAAGCGCGAACGCATCGTTCGTCGTGCGGCGAAGGAGTTTAAGAACGGGATGTATGCGAACTTGGGTATTGGCATGCCCATGCTGGCGCCTAACTTTGTCGATCCCTCTGTAGAGGTCATGCTGCAGTCTGAGAACGGCATCCTGGGTCTGGGTCCGTACCCTCAAAAGGGACAGGAGGATGCTGATCTCATCAACGCTGGCAAGGAGACGGTCACGCTGCTGCCTGGAGCTGCTTGCTTCGGGAGCGAGGAGTCCTTCGGTATGATCCGTTCGGGACGGATCGATCTGACTATTTTGGGTGCTATGCAAGTCAGTGCCCGAGGTGATTTGGCAAACTGTAAGTGGTCCTCGTATAATTGTTTTTTTGAGATTGTCTGGTTGACAATGTTTGTTAGGGATGCTGCCTGGCAAGATCAAGGGCTTCGGTGGAGCTATGGACCTCGTATCGAACCCCTCCGCCACCAAGGTGGTGGTGACCATGGAGCACACGGATAAGAAGGGCGGTCCGAAGATCGTGAAGCAGTGCGAATTCCCCTTGACCGGAAAGACGTGCGTCAGCCGGATCATCACTGAGCTCTGCGTGTTCGACGTCGACTTTACGGATGGATTGACGCTGGTTGAGTTGGCCGATGGAGTCACCGTGGATGAGGTGCGGAGCAAGACGGAGGCACCATTCAAGGTGGCTGATGATGTCAAGCCGATGCTGTAGATCTGATTGACATGATGAACCTCACTGCAAATATGTATAATTCGGCGTTGTCAATTGACAACTGACCTGAATCCCCAAACACACCATATATACCTCGTTGTATCCAAAATAATGCCATTGAACAGATACCAATTCCTTCACCAAATATTACACTATATATACAAGGTCGTAAAGTACAGAACCCGAACCAGAACCGGAGCCATTTTTTATCATCCCTTCTTCACCCATGCCATCCCATAGTACTAATACAACACCACACCATGAATATAACCACCACCACTCCCCTCATCTCCCCCAATAGCCCCCTATATCCAGAGACAGACAAACTACCTCAACCTCAGCAATCCACCCAACCTCTTCTTCAACCTCCCCATCCAATCCCTGTCCGGTGCCTCATCGAACTCTCGAATCACATTATCGTAATGATCCGGGTTACTCGCCGGTCTGCGCAATCTCGGCGACAGGGGGTAGCGTCTTGCGTAGCGGTCTTCGAGAAGGGAGGAGAGAGCGTTGAGGGATTTCTCGTCGATGTTGACTTTTTGTAATTGGCCTTCTTGTTGAGGTTGTTTCTGAGAGGTGGGTTCGGTAGATGAGGGTTGGAGGCAGGCTTGGAGGTAGTTCTGGACGGACACGGAGGAGGGGCGCACTTTGTCGGTTGGCCAGTGTTTGAGGAGGGTGGTGATTCGTTGCTGTGGTTGGTGTTTAATTAGTTCAGTTGGGATGCAGAAGAGGTGGGATTGAAGAGGGTTTTGGTGGGTGTGGTGCGGGTCGACATACTGTGTTAGATGCCATGGTGGGATATCTGTGTGTGAGGTTCGTGTGATTGTAGTGTGAGTGATAGGGGCGGCAGGATGGTGAATGAGAGAAAAGCGCTGGAGAGATACTGTTCGAGGTCTATCTAGATGTCTGTAGATGCTCGAAAAACAGCGGAACTGCCTGAGGCGGCAAGGCGGTCACTGGTCACGGTCACGGGCGCGGCAATCCGGAGGCGGCAATCCGGCTCAGCCACCGCATGCTGATTGATGCTGCTGCTGCTGCTGCCTTATTGCCTGACCTGGACTTCTCTCTCTCTCCTCTCGTCATCTCCAGCTGATCGTCTCCTTCCCATCTCCTTTGAATCTCCCCCCTCAAAGTCCCATCCACGTTCTTTGCGCCTCCTTTTGTTGTCCCTCTTCTAATACCTACTTCCGACGCCGTTGATTTCTTTTGTTTCGTCCCCACCGTCCTTTACTCCGCTCTTTCCCGGTTTCCCGCTCGCTCAGCTCGTCATGAGCTCGCAGCGTTATCAACGGGTATGAGGCACCCACGTTCTTGATAGAAGCCGTCGGGTTCGGCATTTGCATGTCAGAAAAACAAAGTACTGATACATCGGTCTCTATTTAGGTCAACGCCCGTGATGAAGACGATGATGATACCCCCCAGTCACACTCTTCTATCCCTCTCCGACCGACACCTTCCTCCCCGCCTCCCTCATTCCACTCTCGTTCCTCCTCCCCATCATCCAGACGCCTCCTCCACGACGATCCCCACAGAGACCATGCAGACCAAACCCTGGCAGATGCGTTCGGTGATGGCAGCGATTCCGAGTCCGATGAAGAGCCCGACGATCGTCAGCGCTTAATGCGGGCTCAGCCGGATTCCCGCCCGGTGGCGGACACCAGCAGCGCCGCTGCGGCTGCATCTTCTTCTTCAAGCGGTTTAGAGCAACAGTCTGGCGATTCGCGCATCGGTGGAAGCCTTCCTCGACGGCAAACGATTCTACCGTCTTTCAGTACCCCCAGTTCGGGGGCGAGTCGGGTGATCAGTTCGTCGAACGATGGTGTCTTTGCTAATCTGGCGGCTAAGCCGGAGCGCGGGGAAAAGAATGAGGATTTGCCTCCGGTAGGTTGACTTCTTGTGGGATTTGCGATGTGATAATGGTTGCTGATGATGTGCTGTTTTATAGTCCTACGAGGAGGCCGCCGCAGATGCTACACCGCCGTATTGGGAGACGACAATTCTCGCCCCAGGTATCTCTTCGGACGAAGTGTTTGTGGATGGATTGCCGGTTGGATCGATTTTCTCGTTTGTCTGGAATGCCATGATCTCCATGTCGTTCCAGTTGGTTGGATTCCTCTTGACCTACTTGCTTCACACAACGCACGCAGCCAAAAACGGTAGCCGGGCTGGTCTTGGCCTCACGCTGGTGCAGTATGGTTTCTACATGAAGGGTGGCAGTGAGTCGAAAGGATCGGATGAAGGAGGCGCCGATTACGTGACACCCCCGGACCCGAACAGTCATAACTTCGATCCGAATAATGTCGATGGTGGTGCGGGTGGTGATGGCGGAGGCGGTGCCGTGTCCTCTATCACCACGAGCGAATGGATTTCATACGTCTTGATGATTGTCGGGTGGTTCATTCTGATTCGAGCTATCAGTGATTTCCTGCGGGCACGCCGTCACGAGCAGCTGGTGTTACAGAGTCCTGAGCGTGGGCTTAGCGTTCCTGTCATTGCAGAGGGCGAGCGATCGGAGACGGTTGTTTAGGGAATATGGGAATTTTGGTCTGGTCTGGGTACAGTTTCACTTGGGAGCATTCGGAGTTCATTTTCCTTCCTTTGCACGGTTTAGTTATTGTTATAATCGGCCCTACGATCCAGTTGTAGGATGGATGGGAGCCTGCAGAGCATTGGTAGCCTATCGTTGACCGGGTTCATCTTTTCGTTATTTCCTTTTCTTTTTCTTTTTCGCCTACCATTTACACATCATGGTCGGTTCCAGCTATTGCACGAGTTACCGGGCCTGTAGTCTAGAATACCTTGTTATCTTGTTTGCGAGATACCTTTGGCAAGTGAATCCAAGTGGAAACAATTCGACTTTAATCTCTTTCACTCCTTGTTGTTCTGTACGACTGTAGTTCTAGTAGTCGACAGTGAGACATCTGGGCCAATTGGGAGTTGCCTCGTTCCGATTTGCCTTCAGCAGGCAGCCTTATTTTCGGGACCCTTGAATGGAAGCATCGCCGCTGAAGATCGTCCGCCCTGCGACTGGGGATGTTCCCCGTCGCCCCGGTGTGCCTGTTTCTCAATAAGTACTCTCAGACTATTGTTCTGCTTGAGCTTGCTGCCCGATGCTGATCGTCTTGGCGGTCTCTCCGGTTTCTCCGCGTTGATCTTCTTGTCTTCCGCTCTCCTTCTTCCTCCCCTTCCTTTCTTGTCTTTCCCCTTTCTATTATCACAAGTGATTACCTCTCGCTATTCTTCTCCTCATGCTTATTTTATATCCAGTCAAATTCACCTCTCCGTGACTTCTCCCCCGCCTCTCTCTCTCTCCATGACCAAGGTTGACGCCGCGGGGGATGGGGATTCCGCCCCGATGGCCGCCTCGCCGCCGAGTCTCCCCAAAGCCCCCGTCGAGGCTCGCTCGCTGTCTTCCATCACCGCAATTGCCTCCAATCCCCCCGCCTATCCGCGCAATCCTGCTCAGAAGAAGTTGGATCCGTTAGTGCTGTATATTGTGCGGGTCCCAGGCAGTCGAGGTATGTCGCTTACCTGCCATTCCGATCGCTCAGGAATGCCCCGCAGAAGCGGTGGCACCAAACATGCATATGATAGATCAACTGACCCTTGTTTTCTTCCGTCCTCTAGATGTCTTCCTCACCCCCTTGAAACCTGCTACCAAGTCCAGCGTCTCGGCCGAAGCCATCAATTCCTCCCTATATTATTTGCACGTCGCCACGCCCGAGGATGACGTCCTGCTGCAGGAATACGAGCAGGAACGCGAAGAGGAGGCTAGATTGCGGAAAGAAGCCCTTGGAGACGAGGCGGAGGCTTCTCTGCCTTCGCGCGAGTTTGCGCGATTGAACAATGTCCGGCGCAAGCCTGTTCCTGGCGCGGGCGCACCCAAGGTCGATGCGACCGCTCCTCCTCCTCCTCCTGCGCGCCCTCGCCCAACTTCCTGGCAGTCGCAGGGAGCGCCGTCGCCGTTGAATCCAGATCTGCAGCGCCCTGCCCTGCCTCCCCGTCCGAGTTTCCAGGGCCCTGCTCATGCGAACGATTACAATCCTGTCACCCCGCCTTTTGCGCCGGTCCATCGCGACCCTGTCCTCGAGTCCGCGCCGCTTGACGATCCCATGGCTGCGCGCCCTGCGCGGCCACTGCCTGCTGTTCCGAGAGAAGAGCCCGTGCTGGGACCGCCTCTAGACCCGCTGCCGGCGAAGAGGGCCAACCGGTGGAGCACTGCGCTGTCGGGGTACCTGGCAAAGGGTCAGGAAACGTGGAAGGAGAAATATGATGCCATGTCTGGTGGGCGGGCGAGTCTGGATTCAAGACGACCTCCCGTTAGACCGCATTCTGCTCATGGAAGTCCATCACATTCGTTCCTGGGGTCGCCGTCTAGAAGCCCAGCGAGGAGTCCTGCCAGAAGTCCGGGCCAGTCCCCTCGCCAGAGGCCGCATGACAGAGTGGTGCCTGATCGTCCGGGATTCCATATCACCTTGATTCGTCGCGATCCTACGCATGGCAGTCAGTGGAATGTTGCGACCATGTCAACGCCCCGGATGGATGGTGGGCCTATCGACATCGATATCCTCACCCCGGGGTACAACCGCTTCACGGCGCAGAACGAACCGCTCTCTCTTGCGAGTCTGGGGATAAACCTCCCAGGCGGCCAGTCCATCTCATTCTCGTCGTCCAAACACCCGTTGGCTGATTTGGCCGATCTTCCACCTCCTACTTCCGTCCCCAATGAGCCATCTCAGCCCCGACGGTTCCACCGCAAGCTCTGCGTCTCAAGACCATACTTCCAAGAGGAGCCGCGAGGCTCCTTGGACCTCCCGGGTCGTCCGTCCCTCGACAGCACTGCCAGTGGCAGTCCCACGAAACCGCACGCCCCGCCTCACTCCAAGCTGAAGAGCGGTTATTACACCTTCAACTCACCTTGGAATGGCATCTGCACGTTTACAACGAGCGTCAACGGCCGCAGCCTTAAATGCAAACACATGATACCCACCCCTGGCTTCCCCAACGCCAGCAGCCATCATCACCACCCGACGTCCACGCCTGAACCCCCTGCCATCACTGTCGCCGAGATCCGCTTCAACACGCCCTTTCGAACCGGCCACCTTCACCAGCCCACTCCCACGTACGCACCCTATCATCCTACCTCGCCCCCAACGGACTCCTACCTCTCTTCCCCGCAAACTCCTACCTCCGCAAACCCTTCCTCGAAACGCGACTCTCTCGCCCGCCTCCTCAACCCGAACAAGTATACGCGACCTCGCGCTCGCTCCGGGGCCAGTATTACCTCCATCGGCGACAACATCGGCCCCAGCCACCACACACGAAACCCCTCGAACAGCAGCACGAGCAGCGGGGCTGGAGATCTCGAAGAGCGCGAGAAATCAGGACTTTTGCGCCGGCCGCCGAGTGAGGACCGTCTGGATCTTTCTCTTGCACGGGAGCGCGCAGGCGGAGGGTTACGGGGGAAGTCCGCGAAATTGGGTAAGCTGATTATCGAAGATGAGGGGATCAAGATGTTGGATCTGGTTGTTGCTGCTTGTATGTCTGTTTATGCAGTGAGTTGCTAGACATTAGTCTGATTGCATATGGCATGATTAATCTTTTGGTTATATCCTGGGATATGTTCGAGTTGTGATTGTGATATGATATGATATACTATCGATGTTTTGGGCATTTGAGCGATATGCATTTGATGATATGTAACTGCAATTGATACACTGATATACCTTGAATATGAAGCTGAAGCTGCTATAGCACTATCCTCTGATCATAGACATCAGGAGACTCACAGTAGCATAATGATAGTACCTACCCTCTCCGCTCCCCCTGGGAAAGACCAGTACCTCCCAAGCTAGTAGCTACTTACTATCTAGTAAAACCAGCCATCCCACTCCCACATTCCCAATTACTAAACACTTACAAAATAGAATCATCTACACCACCACCACCACCCCTCGCAAACTCATCACCCACCAGGTAACCACATTACCATCTCATTCTCCCCAATTCCATATCCCTGCCCAACACAAACAAAAAAAAAAAAACCCCTCACCAAATACCCATAACCCTCCAATCAAACCCCACGCAAAATAAGCAGAGAAGCTACTAGCTAGCAAGCAGCACGTCTCGGAATACGAACTTTCCCCCCAATCTCCAACCCACTCATGCACTTCTCCTTACAGTATGCAACCAATCAGACCATCTCCATTAGTTGAAACAAGCAAAGTGTAAGCAATGTCCGACAAAAAAGCAAATGTCAACCCCCGAATGCCGAGCTCAGCCCCAGCCTCGGCCCCGGTGAAGTGAAGTGAAGTGAAGCAGTCAATCACGATAGAGTATTAGATGACCCATTTTCGGACTGACTCTCCTGTCTAGGTAAGTATGCACGGAGTATACTCCGCTTTTGTTTGTAATTCGGTGGATTGGATTGGATAGCTTGGGTGGATTGGGATGCTCAGCTGATGAGCAGCAAGTAGACTAGTAGACTAGCACATGGGATAGATAGCATGATGTGTGTGTGTGTGTGAGATGAGATGAGAGGGTGTAGATCCACCCACTTACCTACTTACTTACTTTTTACTTTGCAGAGAATCTGCAGGTTTAGTTTGGACTTAGTTGGGGGGTTTGGGCCAGTTATGTTTCTTGGGATTATTGATGACCGTGCAGGAGGGGGTATTAGGTGGGATGTTATTGGTTGGTGGTGTTGGATCTCTGGGTACTACTTAGGGGATGAGGGGGATGGATGGATCATGATGCAGGTTAGGTACATATGTACGAGTATGGAGTAAGTACTTGGGATGGGATGGGTCATGGTGGTGAGTGAGTGATCACCAGGTGTTAGTGGGGTTTTTGTTGGGTCAGTTGGGTTGGGGTCGTGTTCTGCTTGTCGGTCTGGCTGTCTTGTGAGTCATTGTGCTTTGTGAGGATCTTGAGGGGGGTTTATTGTGTGTATGTCTAATAGTATTCTTGTAGCTGGATATCTAGTATAGGTAATGCATATAGGTATAATATACAAAGTACATCTATGAACTGTGCATACATAGCATATAAATCTATGTAAATGAAATAATACTAACATATTCAGAAATAGTAGCAAACAAAAGCAAATTAGTGTTGATGATTAGCGTCAACCACATGCAAATAATCCATCCCCTCCCCCCCCCCCTATGACATAATAAAATCCATTGTCTAGCATCCCACGAGACACTAAAAAACTAAAATTCAAAGGTTAGCGCGCCAGTGAGAAAAATCCTCGGTCATGGCGAATAATAAATATCGTGAGATGAAAAGGGTATGGTCGTCCGATGATCATTACGCCTTGGCGTGTATTGGAGGGTTTAGTTACGGTATTGTTTGGGAATTACTTGTTTTGTTTACGGGTTTGTGAACTGGTTAGATTACGTATGTTTGGGAGGGTGACTGGGTGTATTTGAGGAGTGTTTTTTTGCAAATGGAATGGAGGTATGCTTTCTTTTTTGATTATAGGTAGTTGCAGGTGTCTCTGAGGGTTATAGAGGGCTCTGTGTACTCTACAGGTTAGGTGGTGGTGGTGGTGGTGGTGTGTGAAGGGCATCTCATGTGTGAATCTTCAATAAGAATCTCTGTATGCACACGATGTATGGCGGCCGAGTTACATATATTGTACGATCATTTTGTGAGGTCTTTGAATAAAGACAATAACAGTGATACTCAATGGTGATATATCACTGTTGAGAATGTCAGCTCAAGATGAAGATAGATTAGATGCACTTGCATCTTCTGATTAGATTAGATCCAAACCCAGCTCTATCTTGCGAGCCCACTCCATGCTAAACTCCGCAGCATGGAGTTAACTCGGCTAAAACCTCATGCAGTTGCAGTATGCACCATGCAGTGCGCACAGCTTCCCTAGTCTAGGCCTAATTAATATCCACGGCATGGCTGGCATGGCATGGCATGAGCACTTGAGTGGATCTCCTGTCCCGCTCATTACAAATCTACCCTGGTTGAGAAATTACTTCGCACGCACACACTGAGATTTACTGCATAGTACAGCATCGCATTGTATGGCATTCATCAAATCTAGATATTGTTCCCTGACTCAAGCACTATAGACAATTCTCACATTCAACATTGCACCATCGCCAATCCATCCCTCGTGCAGATAAAATTCAGAGTGGGTAAGTCCTCCCCCGAAACCGGCCCTTTTTCTGCAGCTCGTAAATGAGCAGTGGAGAACCACCAACAACAAATCAATTGTGCTCGTGTTTGTGTGCGTGCCAAGACAAATAATATTTGATTGGGAAAAGGTGTGGTGGGGCAGACTGGAACCGAAGACTCAGGACGCGTCGCCGTTTTCTTTCGCTTTTTTTTTTTTTGTTCCCCCCATCAGATTAGATGATGCGATTATCTAATCTGATTCTTCTTCCATCTTTCTCAATCTATGATGTTGACCTGTTGGTTGGTTGGGATTGTTTGAGTACGGCTTTAGGTTTTTAGTAGAGTTTGCCTGGGTTAGTGGGGGTTGGTTATTGTTTCCGATTTCTCGTGTTTGCTGTGCGTGTTGTACAGTATGCATGTTTGATCTGCTGCAGGTCAGTTCCTGTTTTTGATCTTGTTCCTGATGATCATTCCAGGGTGATATCTGTAGAATGTAGAAAGCTGTGACCGTAAAACTGTTCTATAACTGTGATTCATTCTGGGTATTCAATCAATCTATATACAAAGTATCCAACTTTAAGGAATCATACAAATCGCTAGTTACCACCCCTCCTCTCCAACACTCCCGCCGCAATCTTCCGCAAATCCACCTTTCGCACCTTTCCACTCCCCGTCACCGGCACCGTGCGATCCACGCCCTCCTCTCCAAACACAAACACATACTGCGGCGCCTTATGCCGACCCAGCGTCTCTCGCGTCCAATCTCGCAGTTCCTCCACGGATGGTTTCTTATCCTCGTATCCTGCCGCCACGGCAATGAACGCACCCACTACCTCGCCGTATTTGGCGTCGGGAATGCCGATCACCGACGCAACTTCGATGGCTGGGTGAGCCGCCAAGCGTTCTTCGATCTCTAATGGGTAGATATTTTCTCCACCTGTGTTTGTGTGTATCATGGTTAGTATACCAGTAGTATGTATGTATGTATGTATGGTATGGTGGGGTTGCAAATAGTATGCAAAATGAAATGCACAAAGTTTGGACGGAATAGAATTAGCACTCACCTCGGATGATTATATCCTTGAATCGGCCCGTGATTGAACAACGCCCCTCCGGGGTGAAGATCGCCTCGTCTCCGGTCTTCAACCACGTGGTGCCATCTGCGTCGGTGACTAGCGTCTCCGCTGTTTTCTCTGGGTTGTTCCAGTATCCCTTTGTCAGTTGATACCCTGCGATGCAGAGCTCTCCACGCTCGCCTACGGGCACAATGTTGCCTTGTGTGTCGATGATCTTGGCTCGCGCGTGCGGCATCACTTTGCCGACGGTTGTGAGGCGCGTCTCGATGGTGTCGGTCGTGACGGCGTTGAAGCAGGTGGGGGAGGCTTCGGTCAGGCCTAGATGGTGTTAGCGGGCGCTGATAACAACAGAAGATGAAATGGGGAGAACGCACCATAGCTACTGGTGTATTGAGTCATATTGAGTTCCTCGAAAAGTCGCTTCATCAACGGACGAGGAACGGGTGCGCCGGCGATAATACCCGTGCGGAGGTTTTTAGTGTCAAAGTTGGGGGGCTTGGGGAGACTCAGGATCGCTTCGAACATCGTGGGAACACCGTGAAGCGCAGTGCATTTCTCGTCGGAGATGGCGTGGAGAACGGCCTTAGGGTCGAATGTCTCGCTGGGGAAGACGATCTTAGAGCCGTGGGTGACGACCGCGAGCATACCTAGAACCAGTCCGAAGCAGTGGAACAGGGGCGGAGGGCAGCATAGAATGTCGAAGGAGGTAAGGTCCATGCGGTCGCCAATAAATCGAGAGTTGTTGACCAGGTTGCTAGAGGAGTTAGTTCTCAAACCATGCTACAGGTGCAGGAATAATGGCTTACTGATGGGTTAGCATGGCGGCCTTGGGGTTGCCGGTCGATCCGCTTGTGAATTGAAGGTTGCACACATCGTCGGGTCGCAATTCGGCTTCGCGATCCGGCAAAGCAGAGTTAGGAAGCTTCTCTCCCCGCTGAATGACATCGTGGTAGGTGCTGAAGTTCTGGTATTCTCCGCGCAGAATGACGATCTCCTCCAGCACGGCCGACTTGCCGTTCTGCTTTGGCTGTGGGCCCAGTTCGGCCAACACGTCTTCCAGCGTGTGACGACCAATGCGAGGAGTCATGAATACCACGCGACAGTCTAGATTTATTCCAATCAGCATTACCTTACTGGATGCGCGCAATCAGCTCTACTAACCGGTGTGATCCAGGGCATAGTAGAGCTCCCTGGGTGTGTAAGTGTTGTTTAGAACCACCAGGATGGCTCCCACTCGGGCCGCGGCAAAGAAAACAGAGATATACTGCTCGCAGTTACCAGCCATAACACCAATGCGATCGCCTTTCTTAATGCCCATGGCCAGAAGACCACGAGCCAGTCGGTTGGCCTCCGCATTCAGGTTAGAGTAGGTCCAGCGGGTTCCCGTCCAGGGGAAGACCAGACACTCATAATCGCCATACTGAAGGCTTTGCAGAGTTAGAAGCTCACCCAGAGTGATGTCCAGGAGAGCCGGCTCGGTCGGACCATGGACAATTGAGAGTTTCTGGGTCGGTTTGGGCGGTTGGAAGTGGGAAAGGGTTTGCTGAAGACGCCGGACAGTCGCCATGATGGATATTTTTGCCGGGGGAGGGGAGTGAGAGACAGGGCAAAACTCGTGGGATCTTATCAGATCGGGGCATCTCGTCCCAGACTTATATTATCTGCCTCTGGCATACCTCGGTACCCGCTCCTACGCGACTCCAGGCCTTTTCTTGCCTGCGACTAGTCTGCAACAGGATGAATCCGTCTTCCTGTGGTTCCGAAACTTGGCCGTTTCGGCTGTCGGTACCCAATAGGGCAACTTTTACTCTAAAGCTGGCGGGTGTCATCTCCACTCCTAGACCCAGTTAGAAAATTTCCCAGTGAGATATTTATTTGCAGGGTGTGACAACGACCAGTGCGTACATTGGAGGGGGAAATGCCGGGAATCCTGCAATTCTACAACCCGATTTTACCGGCCAAGGAGTCCTGAGCGGTGCAGAAACTAACGCGTAGCGTTGCCGTAGCGTCGCTTAAGGCCGCCGCTGATGCCATCGCTTCCGTGTTCTGGCGTGTGCTGGAAACGAGGCCCGGATCAGATAACGCGGGTGGATATTAACCGGGGACTGCAAAACTCTGTTCAGGGCTTTGCTTTTCCACCCGTTCCACCCTCCCTCCCCCTATGGCATTATTTGTCCTCCCCTCTCAAGGCGCTGTCCGACCTGATCTTGTTAATTCGATCCGATTTTGGCGACTTGCTGCTGACTGCTGGCTTATACAACCGCTTCTGCGTTTAGTAGCATTGTCAGAAGTGTCCCTTTGGCGGACCAACTATTATGAAAGCTGCTACTGCATCATGCTTGAATCGGCTTTATGGTTATTTGGCTTCAATAAATGTAGTAAATCCGTAACTTGAAGATAATTGCCTACTGCACGGGAGGTAACTTGAGTGCTGTTAGGCACCAGCGCCTTGCTAGGCGTCACTTCTAGTGCGACTCTTGCTACCTTTGGCCATTGCATCATGAACGAGAGACAATTCAAGCGCGGGACTGACACTAATATATATTATGGTCGCTCCACTTGCTCTTCAGCCTTTTCCACCATCCTCAGCCTAAATTGGAAGGAACTGAACGTTCACGCCAAACGTTCAAGCTCATTAAGTACGATACAGTGCGTATGTTATATATGAGAGTAGCCATGGACTTCAGGGGATATGAAGAAATATTAGTATCTGGGTCATGTCCTCGATACGGGCCTAACACTAATTCATATATATATCCGAATGTATACCGACGGGAACTTATAACAGCCCGCATTATGCAGATTAAAACGGTTCCGCTGAAGTGGACTCCGCTTCCACCATCTAGCAGATAAAATGAAGGCGTGTCCGACCATTGCACTTTCTCAGCTTCCTACTATCGGCATATCTGTACCAAAAATAATGACTGTCTCCGAATGCGCAGCGAAAATCTCGAAAGCCAAAGTGCTACGCAAGCCTTGAGCTGTATCGGGATGCATCTACCGGCAACATCCGATCCCTTACCCGGCATCCAGCCTTCTAGCACTAACAGCAGCAACATTATGGAGCTGAACTAGCGGAGTACTTCCGCTTCCATGTGTCTCTCGGAATCGGTTTTCATTACTTCAATTCGGAAGGATCGCCTGGACCCTGAATCGTCACCGCTAGCTCTTAATCTGGTCTCAGTCTCTAACATTTCATTACCTTATCATCAAGACCCGAGTGCCCCATGATCAGGCAGAAGAAATCTTACATGGCACCACTATATGGAGAGCCAGCTGCCTTTAAATACCCACCGCGGATCAGATGATATCTCTCCCAAACAAAGTACACCTACTTTCAGCTGCTCGCGCAGTTGGAGTCATCAGGGTGGATCCGCGCCATGGAAGCGAAGAGCTATGTATGCAGCATGAGGGGAGCTCCTACAGCATAGCGGAACCCCTCCAGGTACGTACACAACCGGCGAGGGGCCGAGGTCCTAGGGCACCAGCTCATCGGCATTAGACGTGGCAGGTGCATAAATAGACATGGGCTAGAACCACGCGCGCTGATCAAAAGTCGCCAATCATCATCCCAAAGCAGCAATTTCGGCTGTAGCCGTACAGAGATCTATGCAGGCTGCTTCGGGCAAGGATCCCCTGTGCTGCATCGATCGCTGTTTTGCAAAACAGATTACCCTGGGCCGGTCTGGGTCGGTTCGTTACAGCGGTGTATTGGAGACGAACGGGACCGGTCATGACGGTACCGATCTAATCAGATCATCAGATGATCTAATCAGATAATCCCTGTCCGAAAGTCGGAGAAATGGCCGGACCGGCGGCAACCCCCACCGAGCGCCAAATCAGAAGGTCCGAGGCGCGTGTGGTTTTCCGCGCGCACCGCCCGAGCCAGGATTAGGCTGGAATCCCGCCCGGCCACTCTCCTGCACATCCCAATACCGCCCACGGTTCGACCGCCAAAGCCTTGAAGCCTTGAATCTTGTTCCCCCCCCACTTGCTTACCCCCCATCACCCAATGGCCGTGCGTGGTACATACCCCCCGGGCCCACTGCCAATGACGATGAATGGTTTGTGACCTGCACAGTTCCTGCGTTGAAAAAGTGTCTCTGTGCGACACTCATAATTAAGCTGCTTTCCTTTATGATCCTGTCGGTGACCGCAGTCGCTCATTCTCAGGAGCAGTCAACATTTTGGAGTTCTGTGGTCGAATAAGACGAGCTCGCTGCTCCCCCTTCGCAGGTGCGTGACGACCCCGCTCGTGATACACTTAAAGCAATGACAGTCACATTCCCGCCCACTGAGGGGTCCAAATACTCGTCCAATTTCGCGAGCAAGTCTCCCTCTCCCAACATGAATGGAATTCACCCTACTATGGCTGCTCCCGTCGTCCCTGTCACCAGAGTTCCTGCCCTGGACACGCTCGATCAATATGTTGTGGGAAAGACCGTGGCCGATAAGGCGGCCATCAGCCCATCCGTCGAGCTTACCTGCAGCGCCGACTTCCGCGACGTCGCAAAGAGCCTGATCGAAGGCTACGCCTGTTTTATCTCTCGTCTGACTGGTTTGGAGGATGTCGCCTTCTTCGTGTCGCGTCAGTCCAGCATCGCCAGCGAGTCCGATCTGTTGCGCGGGGTCATTTCGGCTTCCGTGCTGGCCGCGGAAGAGGGGCAACAACCGCGTTGCGATTTCCGCGAAGACGGTGAACAACACGCAGATGAGGGCGAGGTACAGTTTTCTCTGGACTTGGGCTTGTATGTCGGTCCTGAAAATGGCGAGCAACAACCCCTTGTTGAAGTTCGAGACAGTGTAAGTGTTCTGCCCGCGCAAGAACGCGGAGACTGCCCAATCTGACTAAGGTGCTGCTGTTGCTAGGCCTTCACAACATTTATTCGACCTACCACCACGAAAGATACCCTCGAAATCAGTTTTGCCTATCCGACTCGCCTTATACCTCAGCCGGCAGTGGATCAGCTACTCAGGATCCTTGCGACACAATTGGCAGACTCAACCACTTTCCTTTCCTTCGACGCTCCGTCGCCCATTCCTTCAGTCTTGAATTTCCCTCCCCTTATGATACCCCCTTCGCGAGAGACGGACCAAGTTGATTTTCCCGAGTCTGGCCATTCCAAACAATATCTTCTCCATGTCGCTTTCGAGGGCTGGGCCCGCCGAAAGCCTGATGCCATAGCGCTGGATTTTGTTCATTCTTTGCCTTCTGCCACGGCTGCGGCAGAACACAGCATTCTTACTTATTCCGCACTTAATCAAGCAGCCACTACCCTCGCTGTACATATTCGGGCCCTCTTATTGGAAAGGAACGCCGCCGACTATGGACGCATCATCCCTGTCTACATGCCATCATGCCCGGAACTTTACATTACATATCTCGCCGTTCTCAAGGCTGGTTTCGCTTTCTCTCCGATTCCCCAGGATGCACCGGTACAACGGGTTCGGGATGTCCTAGAAGACATTGATTGTCCGATTATACTTGGCAATACTCCAGAGCCTGTCTCTGGGCCATGGTGCGATGCCAGCGCCGGTTCGACCGTCAAGCAGGTTTGGGTTGACGTAGCGGAGGCCTCAAGATGGAAGAGCTTGCGAGATGGTCAGCCCGAGTCCTCGGACCACTGCGAGTCCCTGGATCAGTTGGACATAGAGCACGACCAAACTGCATACCTCCTATTCACCAGCGGCTCTACCGGAAAGCCGAAGGGTGTCCAGATCAGTCACCTAGCCGCCGCCTGCTCCATTGAAGCTCATACTACAGAAGTCCCTATCCCGGGAGAAAAAACCGATGATTTCCGGTGGTTTCAATTCTGTGCTCCGACCTTTGACCCGTCCCTAGCGGAGGTGTTTGTAACCTTGGGTTGCGGTGCTACTCTCTGCTCTGCCGACCGGAGCTTGACGCTGACTGATCTGGAAGCAACCATCAATGAAGCCAGAGCAACTGTGATGATGGCTACGCCTAGCTTGGCTGCACTTCTTCGGCCGGAACGGCTAACTACTCTTCAATACCTCTGGTGCATCGGTGAAAAGCTCAATAGAACCGTCATCGAGAACTTCTCCGCAAAGACTGGTGCAAATGGAGAAACTACAGCATCCGAGCTCTCACGGATGTTGGTCAATACCTACGGCCCGACTGAAGCAACAATCGCCTGTACGTACTTGGCGCCATTTGGCCACACTCTCCGCTGCTCTATCATTGGCCGGGCGCTGGCAACCTGTTCAATGTTCGTTCTCGACCCCAACAGCCGTGAGCCTCGAGCGGTTCCTGCCGGTCTTGCCGGTGAACTAGCAATTGGAGGCCCGCAGCTCAGCAAGGGTTATCTCAACCGTCCGGTAGAAACCGCAAAAGCGTTCGTTGATAGTGACGAGTTTGGTCGCTTGTACCGGACTGGTGACATGGCGCGGATGGTCTGGGACGAGTCTGGTTCTCAGATCATTGAATTTCTCGGTCGTATCACGTCTGACCAAGTCAAGATTAGCGGTCGGCGGCTCGAACTAGGCGAGATCGAATCAGTCCTTGAGACTATACGGGGGGCCAACGAGGTTGTAGCCGTGGTCTCCAAACGCGATGCTAATGTTCAAGGAAGTGAGCAGATCGTCGCATGCCTTGTTGCAAATGACAGCAGTGAAGCAGAGAAAGAGGAAATTATCCGGGAGGCACATCAGAATTCCGTGAAACATCTCTCAGCTTACATGTGTCCGTCTGCTTACGTTTTCCTCGATGCTCTCCCTCGGTCCAGTGCCGGGAAAATCGATCGCAAAGCGGTAACCGCAAGGCTGCAGCAGGGATCCGGGGGCGATATCAAAATATATCCTGCACCCAAATC